CCTCTCGACAATATGCGTTTTTGCTAGCGCTGCTATAGCGCTGCACAGCAAAAACGCATAAAAACGCATATTATTGCGACCCGCTCTGTGCGTGTGTGTGTGTGTGCGTCTGTCCGGATATTTCAACTCGGCAACCAAGCAATCTCCAGCGCTAAAACTTTGCCAGTAGGTTCCCCGGCCAAGTGTCATCCCAGGACCGCGTTATCATACGAGCGCGTGGAAGCTTTGGCGGGAAAATCGCTAACTCAGGAACCAGGAAAGCCAGAAAGCTAAAGTTTTGTGGTCATGTCCCCCACGCAAGTAGAACTCAAAGATTTCAAATTCAGCCCCCCAGTATGTGTGATTCTAATGTACGGCTCCGTGAAAGTTTACGATGAGAAAATTGCTAACTCGAGGACGAGAAAAGACAGGAAGCTGAAATTTTGAGGTAATGTTTCCTGACCAAGTACCATGTAGTTGCACAATTAACTGTTTAAACGTCTAGGACTAGTATACCATAAATTCTAGCTACTGGGATTCCAAGCGATCTTACAACAGAACGAAATAATACAAAAACGCATAACCCGGGCGCGTCGCCAATGATATTAAATTACAACGCAGGAACCATTTCTGCTGTTAACAATCTGACTGTTGCAAGTTTAACATAAAAGCACATGATCGCACCGGGAAAACTTGGTGCGTCGCAGCCTGGGTTGTTTGCAGGAAATTTGGTGCTAAAGGGAAGTGTACACCTTAAAAATGACACTTAGAACCTCACTTGGACAGTAAACCCGATAGTACGGCTTTTGCTGTTCGAGCCCGTATCCAAAGATGGGTGCATATTTAGCGGCTAATTTCCCTTTGGCATTGAGTTCCATGCTGAGCTTGAAAAAGACCGCGTGGGGGCATCCCTCCTCCCTGTAAATCCCGCCCGTCTTTGGTTCCACGTCCAACTAAAGCCTTTCCACTCAATAATCCTGCCCCTTCCCCTCCGCATCTTTGGCATTTAAACCATCACTCCCCTCCCCTCTCTCTCTCCCGCTCCCGCTCCTCCACCGCCAGCGCCAGCCACTCCCTAAGTCGTCGCAAATCGATATCCGCAGCCGGCCGAATTGGGTTCTGGTAGTTGAGCATTTTGGTGTTGCTGTTGTAAATGGCGCGGTTGGGTGGCACGCGGGGGAGTGGTTTGGTGCTTTAGGGGGCGCGGGAGGGTGCCGGTAGCTGGCGATGGTTGCTAGGCGCGTGGCTGCAGCGCCTCAGTACGGCGAGCTGTGGTCGGTGTAAGTGCAGTTACGAGTTGCAGGTGCGGAGATGTCGTCGACGACGCCGGTGGTTAATCTCAGTGGCAAGGTCGCTCTGATAACCGGTAAGTGCGCTGTGCGATCGCCACCCCGCTGGACCCATCGTCCGCAGCGTCTGCTCTGAAGTGGCTGCGTGCAAAAAAGTCGTGCCCTTCGAGAACAG